AAGAGTTAATGTCAAGCCCTGTATACAGTGAATACTTGTATTTATACTTGTATTGCAGTAAAAAATGTGGTGTTTAACCGGAGTACGGTGGTGGGGGTGCTTGACATGTGTCAAACACTAGAAAGGGGTGCACGCTGCAAAAGTGGCTGGCTGGTGTGTGACTGTGGAGGCGGGGCTAATTTGCGTATTCATAGATCCACGTATAGTAAATGAGCAGGGGCGGTTCTAGGGTGGGGCCGAAGGGGGCCACTGCCCCCGTGTCAACAAGCTTGGCCCCCGCGCTGGCCCCCCTAAATTTGGAATCGTATCACACAAAATCATATTGGGTGCAATGCGCAGTTTGTCCTGTTGGTGGCAGTAATGGAAAAAAGTAAAACATCACCAGCTGCTACTGGCACAGAGCCAGACACGTTTTTTACATAGACTGTATAAAAAAATGGACGTAGTGTCCGTGACGTCACCCGAATATTTTGAATAAAATAAAAAATAAATAAAACATAAGCCTATATCAGTTAAGTGAACCCATTATATCTTTCTCTTTACTACTATAGTACATAATGAACATGAATTAACATCAAAACGTAGCCTATTTTATAAGAAAGCCTACAGTACAACTTACTGAAATGTCTCATGTAAAAGCTCATTCAGTGTTTTAAACTGCGAAAAACATTTACCTCAGAATAACCATTCGGTGTCCATAATCTCATCAGTCAGCTAGAAAAATAACTATAAAGTGGAGCATTTTGCTATATTTATGCGCTATTGGATGTTAACATTTTTATTTAACCTGTTGTCTACATGATTCAACTCCTCCTATAAAATTCCATTTTACTAATGAAGAAAAACAGACTGAATGTGTGAAAAACATATGACAACACTTATAGGATGCATTGAGGAGGAGCCCAAACTACACTCAGTGGCTAAGTTGATGCTTGTTATGGTCCATGATATTGGTACAGATTCTGTGTCATGAACATAACCATTCGGTGTCCATAAGCTCATCAGTCAGCTAGAAAAAATAACTAAAGAAGAGCATTATGCTATATTTATTCTTTTCCGTTGTTTGGAAACCTGTAGGGAGGTGGGTGCCATTTTCTTTGTAATTAATTGTTTTCTCCTGTTTTTCTGAGTGAGACAGGGAAGTATTGCTGTTTTTCTTTTCGTTTTTGTTTTGTTATAGGTCATTTAGAAGATTAACATTTATTTAGAACTTTTTTGTTTATTATTTTGGCCTTGCTCCCTCCTGAAGCTTTTGTTTCCAATTTCTTTTCTGTTTTAATAAATTACGCTTCAGTTTGATATTTGGTTGGCTGTTTCTTTCTTGAGCTGGGGCTGGAGATGAGAGGTTCCGCATGATCTCTCAGTTTTGTTACATTTTTCCCTTAACCCCTAGATTTAAAAAGGGGAGATCGTAACACTACCGGAAGCAGTAAACCATCCGGGTACCTTTGGAATACTCATTTCAACATACTACGATTTGGGCAGAGGTGGAAAGTAACTAATTACAAATACTTTTGTTACAGTAGTTGAGTACATTTTTACATTTTTTCTACTTTCTTGAGTATAATTAAATTGTGGTACTTTTACTTTTACTTGAGTAGAATAAAACTAAAGTATTCAACTTCGCTACATTTATTTTTCACCAAAAGTACAAAACAAAAATAGACAAAGAAGGCGCCGATGGAGAAACAGAGCGACCCGGCGTTTGACGGGCACTTTTCAAACTTCTGGGGTGGAGCCCTGCGCTTCAGGCAATAACAGACAGATCTGACTCGGGTGCAAAACTTCCAGTTCCGCTGGGGGGCGGGGCGTGGCGTTCAAAAAGCACTTAGCTTTGACTGTCAATCGCCGGCGTTGTTGTTTTGAATCAGCATTATTAGCGTTTCAGTATTTTAGTGAATGTGAGCTATGCTCTGATTTTAAATCATAATTTTGTCAGCTCCTGAAATGGGTCGATATTACCAGCGCACACAGCAGTATAAGTAAATAGAAAACTCGGTTGATAGAAGGACAGTTATTGCATGGATGGAGCAAGAACAATGTGTCTAAAATACATGCACACAGTTGAGTTGAATGATAAAAAAAAAATCGCCCTCTTTAACAGTGCAGTTAAACTAAATGTACGAAGCTAAAATAACCTCAACATTAACAACAACACTGAAATAAGAGCGCATGCATTTTACGTGCATCTGACTGATAGATCAACCGTGATTTATCTGTCAATCAGATACATTTTAAAATCACTTTTTTCTGTGTGCGTGATTTAGATGTGTGTGCACATCGGCGAAGAAACCCGATAGACCGGACGATTTATTCACATCCAAAACGAGACGATGTGAACTAGTGTTGGTTCGTTCTTGAACGATTCGTTCATTTTGAACGAATCTTTAATGTGACTCGGGAAGAACGAGTCGTCTCGGGGAGTGATTCGTTCAGTCGCGCATCCGCAACATCATATAGGTTCTGTACTGGAAATAGTCAAGTAGTTCACCTGTTTCGAGTCTTCGGGTTTTTCGAGTCATTCGTTCATCACGTGACAGCCACATAAGCTTTAACCTTTGCAGTCTGAGCCGGAAAGAGAATTGATTAGTTCATCTCTCGAGTCTTCGGGTTTTTCGAGTCGATCGTTCATCACGTGACAGACCCATAAGCTTACCCTATGCAGTCTGAGCCGGAAAGAGACTTAATAATAATAACCAACTCTTTGTTACCTTTGTTACAACATTCAGTGTTATGGAAAAGAACCATAATGACAGAAATTCACACATTTATAAACCATAAGAAGTAAAAAGCTACAATTTGAGACCAGAAA